GTTGGCTGCAAGCCGTTGTTGTGACCATCATCACTAGCATTCAGTTGAGCCTTTCCATGCTGATCTCGCGAGAAGCGCTCACCTACACCCGTCCACTCCAAGCACCCATCACAGCCACCGGTGCCATCGGCATACTTCATGCAATCATGAAATGCCAAGCGCAGGAACTTTGCCATGGTGGGTAGACCTGACCATCGTTCCCCCGGCACTTGGATGTTCCCTTCCCGACACACGCCATCCGGCTCCTGGAAGACACGGATCAATTTGGCTCTGATGTCTTTCTGATGTTCTGGCATCCACACAGCTCCAGGCTCACCCGGAACATAGCTTCGTCCTGGTGCCCTGACATAGGTGATATAGTTGCTAGGTTCCCACCTCGTAGTGCAATTTCCAGGGTCGTCACTGTAGCGAGCACAAGTGTGATCGACCCACAAGCTGAAGTACTTGCAATTCAGCTCGGAAGAACACTTCCTGAGAGGGAAGAAAGATGTAGATTGCGAACAAGAAAAGGGAACTAAAAGGCTTCCGCCTACGCACATTGACCATTCCGGACACAATGTCCTGAAGTAGTCGATGTGACTACCAACTCTTCGAGAGGATGGTGACATAACGCACCGGAAGGGGATACACCAAAACTCGACAGTACACCCCCCCACCCCACGGACGTGGCAAGAGGATTCACAGACATATGTATTGCGACGACAACCTCCTTGAAGAGAAATGCACTAATGGCATCACGCAACCTGCCAAGCTAGAAGCTGAGCTCTACACTCTACATGTGCGCGATGACTTAGGGTAGTATGGCAAGAGCTAAGCCTTTAAGCAGTTGGCTCGTGCCCATCGTCCCATCGGTCTTTGAGCCAAGATGCCGTGCACAGGTGTCGAGGTCAACGGCGTCTGGTTTATACCAGCCACCGATGTAGCCCCCGGGCTGGACGTGGCAATAGCCGGTCCCCACATAGGTGTAGCCGAAGGGAGACGGGATGGTGGTGGTCGTGGTGGTGGTCGTGGTGGTGGTAACGCATGCAGAGCAGCCCTTGCAGTTGTTCCAAGTGCAGCTTTGGGGAATGGGGTGGTTGCTGCACCAGGGCTTACACGGCCCATCTCTCACATGCTCGAGTTGAAGCAATGCTGACGTCACCGCATCTGCTTTGGCAGAAGAACATTCCTCTGCCACTGTGGCACCAGACGAAGGTGTCAAAGGGACCAAAGCCACGATGCACCAAGCGAGCATGGTGAACACGAGTGTTCGGCGGTCTTTCCACGGAGGAAAATGAAGTACTGAATGAAAGCTGCTAGGCTGCGAGCTGTGAAGCCAAGCCTTCGTGCAAGACCCTTTCTCCTACAGGACTGCCTCACAGTTCACATTGTGGCAGCTCTCTGCTCTAGCTACTCCACTCTTTGCTTGTCTACTCTGCCTTTCTGCTCTTCTCGACTCTACCCTTCTGTGCTCAACTCTTCTCTCTGCACTTCTTGAGCGTCTCTAGTTCGCAAGAGATGGCTTTCAGCTCAAGCTGCATGAGTCGCCTGCACCCAAGAGCTCCGAGGAGCCGAAGTGGAAGTCACCGCCTCGGCTTGGGCGGCGGGTGGCGCGGAAAGGGGAGGGGGGTCCCGCATGGGGTCGGGGGGTCATTTGGTGAAGGGCTCACGGTTGTCGCTCGTAAAGACTCGTGGAGGTTCATGGTTCAGCGATGCTGGCCAAGGCTAAGTGCAGCACTAATGATCTCCTACCTTGTGTCGAAGCCGAAGCTTGAACGGCGGCAGCCCGGCGTGCACTGCTTGGCACTTAGCGATGCTGTCTGCTGTGGCTGCAGCTGTTACAGCCCTACAGCCCCACACTGCTGTTGACGTTGAAGCCAAGGCGGTCGCCATTGACGATCCGGCTGTTCACGGCCTAGTTCGTAGGTCTACGGCAGCGGGAATGCCATGGTGATGCCTGCAGTCGACGTCGAGCGCTCAGCTTGTAAGGCCCTGACAATGTCACTCTGAAGCCCTTGCAAGTCGGAGTGTTCACCTTCAATCAGGAGCAGTCACCGTGTGCATGTACTGCAAAGCATGAGAAGATGATGCTTTAAATCTTGGCCCGGATCCCTCCAGCTGATAGCCAGGTGACGCGAAGCCGAGATGCTCGATCTGTTCCGCGAGGGCCTTCATGAGCCGTTCTGAGAAGATATTTCCGCGATGATTGCTTGACTGAGCCGGCCACATCTGCTTGCGAAGGCAGACGCGGTAGGGACGTGGTCAGGCCGTCCGCTACCAGGCTTAGCCTCGGAAAACAGCGGAAAGCTCTGCAGCACGCGCATGCACGCGCATGCACGTGCAGACGGTGTCACCGGGCGACTGGCAACTTCTCGAAGCCTTCCAACGTTCGTGGAAAATCCTGCATAGCGGGCACAGCCACGGCGTGCCCTGATGCACACCAACAGGAGGACGAGGCCCCGGCTTTTTGGGGAGGGGCCGGATCCTTGCAACCGGCTGAAGCTTCCGACAGGTCATGAGGCTCCGTGGCGGGGTTGTGCCTCCCAGAGGGAAGAGACGGCCTCCACTGCCTCAGCGAGACGGTGCTGGAAATTGGCTGCTAAGCGCACAGTCATCTCGAGTGCAGCCAAGGAACGGCCGAAAGCCACTCCATTGATGCGGACGTGGCTATGCTGGGCGCTCTAGAGTCCAGGTTCTGATTCCGCACTTGCACAATCGTCGAACCTCTGGAAACCCCCGTTTCCAGAGGTTCGACGATTATGCAAGTGCGAAATCAGAACCTGGACTCTAGAGCGCCGCTGGCTCCTGTGACTCGTTACATGCAAGAACACATTGCAGACCGCTCTTTGGCGAAGCAGCGGGAGCTGATCAGCGATCCAAATGAAAGAACAAATTCAATTTGTGCAGAGACATGCACTGCATGGAGCGGATTGTTAGGTGAACCCGCGCTGGCCGTCAAGCTGGCGACAAGGATGCAGCGGCAATTTTCGAAAAAACGGGGCGCGCGAGTGCTTAGTGCTCGTAGACTCGTAGCATCACAAGCAGGCAGTCAGACCCGCCGTCCTCAGAGATGTGAGCAGAAGCTTGACGTAACCCTCACACGTTTAGCATCCGTCTCATGAACAGCATCCACAAGATGCGGGGGGCCTTTGCAGCGGGCTTCCGGCAGCAGATCCTCTTTTCGGGCACTGTCAAAATTGATGAATGGCGAGTTGTGGGCTGCCGAGAAGTGATTTCCTCTTCGACGAAGCTTTGCAAGAACGGGACTGCACAGTGCATGGGTTACTACTGTGACGCAAGGACGAGCTCGACCAGCATGTCAAACATGACACCGATGTTACTGATGCTAGGGACAAGCAAGAAAAGGACAAGCACGGAAAGAAGCGGTCCGTGTGACAGAAAACTTGCCACTCCATCAATCAAATGACCTTGTTGCAGCATGGTGTCGAAATTGATCCTGCATACATCGCGAAACTTCTGACGCCCCGGCTGCCTGCGTGCTTCACAAGCATCGCAGCATCTGCCAGAAAGTCTGCTTTTGCTGCCTTGGCTGACCACCTGCAAAAGGCACGCCAACCTCCGGAAGCCACAGAGCTGGCTCCGTCGGCCTTCGCGCTTGATGCTCTTCTTCTCGGCGGTGCCGGTTTTCGGCACCGCCGGAGCCGCCGCCTGCATGCCATCCCCCAACTGTGTCACAAGATGCGTGTCACAGCACACCACCCTGGAAAAAACCCACCTCGACCCAAAGTTCACAGTACTTTATACAGAAGGCTCAGCCATATCGGCCTTCTTCGGCAACAGCCCGGAAGTCTCGAGCAGCATCGGGTGGATGTCCTTCGATATATTATGTCAAATTATGCAGCTGCAGCAAGCCACACAGCCTTGTTCTCACACTGAGTCCAGGGCTTGGCACTGGTGCAGCAAATAAGATGCCACCGCAGCACACGGCACCATACTGGCGGAGGCGCGTGAGTTTAGGTTCCCACTCTCCCACAACTGTGATTATCGATGGAAGAATGGCTCCAAACGTCCGCCGGCACGGAAGATCACAGGGTATGCTGAGAGGCACTCCAGGGCCAACAAAAGCCAACCCCACGCTTTGGGAACCAGCAACAGCACCAGCAACCACAGAAGCAGCGGTATCTGTGAGAGACGTAAACATGAGTGAGTGAAGCCGTGGATGACGAGTCATTGACGGCGCTAGGATACACAAATTGAGCGAGAGAGTGAGCGGACGGGCGCGCTCTGTTGCTTTCAAGTTCGGTGAAGAAGCCGGGTCAGCGGAGTGCGGCAAGTTGATAAGCGAGTGCGTCAGTGCACGAGTGAGACTGAGTGCTTGAGTTGAGCTACAGTGAGCGACAAGTGAATGACTGTGCGATGGCGTAAGCAGAGCTAGTGAGTGTCTGGAGATGTCTGGAGCAAGCGAACTTTTGTGACACACTCAGCATATGCTATACACACACACACACACACACACCGGCACACCTCTTTGAAAGACTACACACCACTGACCACTTGAGAGCAGCTGCTCCCACTCCGGGCATGCATTCCTACTCCCTGCCCCCACCCACATCCCTTTTCCGCAAGAAATGTCCCGCAACCTAGGAGCTTTACCACCCCGACACCACGGATGCACTGCCGCTGCCTGCCTGAACAATGCCAAAGCAAGGGCGCTAGCTTTCGTGAAGAGAGCCAACACATTACAGAGCTCGTCCCTGGAGCTTCAAGCACCCTGAACATCTTCAGATTTAGATGCTTGGGATCCCACTTGGGTGTGGCTATATCCCAAACACTTGCACGGGCCCTTTGATGATGCCTGTCGTTGCTGCCCGCCCAGCAGCACCGTCCAAAGCCATTCTCAAGGCCTCGAAGGCACCGGCGATGAGAGCAATGGAAAAGGCCCCAACAACCACAGCCGAGCCGAGACACCCGAGACGCCCATCATGCTCTGGTCGTGGAGAATGGCCTGTGGTACTCTAACTCACAAGGTTTCAAAACTGCAAGAGCGCAGCGCACCATGATCAGACGAGACTGGCGAGAAAGGCCCGCACCTGCACGGTCCCGCGGAAAGGATTACTGATCCCCTTCTCCTGCATGTCAGGGCAATCGTGCAGAAATAGGCAGAAGTCGGTGGCTTGTCATGCTCCCCCTTCTGCTGCCTTACCCAAAAGATCTGCGCCGGTGCAATCTCGAAGCCAGATCTGCCTGGCTTGCACGAAAGGTTCCGCTTGTGATTGTAAAACCGGGTGCAAGTTCGCAGCTGGCCTTTCCGACAAGCGCTGCTGTGCGGACACCTCCGGCGAGCATCTTCCGTGCTGCTGCTGCAGTAGAGATGCCCTCACAGTGCAGCTTGTCTCGGTGCCTCGGAGGTTGCGAGCGCCGCTTCCTGGCAGCGACACAGACCAGCAGGCAAATTGGCTGAGACAGATGGAGGCAGCATCACTTCAGGCGAGTCCGGCTCTGCCTCCACTCCACAGGCTGTGCACAGCTCGCCCAGAGCCTCCAAGGCAAAATCACAAGGCCGCGCTTGCTGTTGATGCACTGACTTTGCTGAATTGCGGGTTTGTGGGATTGAATCGGTTAGGGGCCCTAGCGTGATGGCAGCACTACAAGTAACATGTCTGTCAGAAACAATGTAAGACCGTGCAAGTCCCTGCCTGAACCGCTGCCCTCGTCTTGTCAGCGTTGGCTGGCCCCTGAGCAAGCTGCGCTCGCGATCCCGTCAGAGTCTCCCCGACTCTCCGATGGCTGTGCCCAACTTCGAGAACACGGCGGCGCACTGCAGCTCTCGCCAGCTCATGCCAATCAGAATTTCTCTCGCCCTGCCCTGTGTGCCACAGGCCTTGCTCTCTGCCAGTGCTGCGGGCACCGCCTCGCGCTCGCTTTCAGGTTGGAGCAGTTGGCTCAGACCGGAAGTGGACAGGAAATGCGAAAGCGCTCAGGTCGCGACTGGCCACAGCAGCAGCTGAATCAACGGGACCACGACTCCCGACAAACGCTCTGTCTGCATCCTCTGCAAGAAATTGGCCAGCGAGCCTCAGAGTTTGCAACTTGCGTCCCTCTGCCTCTGCATATCTCTGCATTCCTTGTGCATGGGATCTTAGAGGAGAGCGGACAGCCAGAACGGCAGCAAGCTGGTCCGGTGGATCCTCAGAAAGCTCCACGAGAGCGCGTTAAGCCGAACCTTCCGAGCTTGGCCTCTTCGGCAGCACAGGCCCTCTCCGCTTCGGCGGCCTCGTGGCTATGACCCTTCCAAGTGCCCGATGGGTGCCGTATCGTGAACGCTGGTCCTGCATGGCGTCGACACACTCCGGCGATGGCACGGGCCTCGGGCACAGGCCATGACAGGCCGTCACGACTCGTGCATCAACACATCAGAAACACAGCGCAACGACAAGGCGGCCGCCCGTTGTTCTCGACATCCATCATGAGTATCTCCGCGTGCCAGAAACACCACGCAAGACAAGCGCAAGCTATCGCAAGCATGTCAGATGCCTCCCAGATGCTCTTGGGTCTGTTCACGTACCTGTGCCGCGCTGCCTGGCTCAAGCAGCTATTTGCCGAGTTCACTGGCATGCCCACCCCAACCAGACGGGTGCTGCCAGCACGTGCAGCTGGGAGAGCAGAGGCCCGCACACGATCAACTCTGCCACGGCCTGACATGCACAAAACACACTCCGAACACATAGCTCGCCGCTGGACTCGCCTGCGTCACCGCAGGCTGCCCAAGGCTCACGAGGTCGGTAATGAAATCCAGCACATCCTATAAGCAGCTGAAACGTAATATGAACCACAAGATCTGGCATCACAAGCCGGAGAGGCAGGCTCCTTCTCCTTCGCCAGCGCGGCTTGGAGGGCACTGGAGTTGTCCTGCTGCATGGCCGTTGCCATTTGAGCCTCGGTTCCGTCGAAATTCTGTCTTTGCGCTACCTCATCATCGGAACCGCCACGATAATGCAAGCCACGCCGCCCAAGCGCAATGCAGCCGTTCGGCCAGCTCCGGCAGCAATTTGCTGGTCAACACCTGCATGGCACGACCAGCCCGACACAGCCCGACAAATCCGAGGACCGCCAGCTGCAGCCTCGACGGCTGCACCATGCACCTGGTGTGGGGAGCAGTTGCGCTTGGAAACGCCGTCAATTGTCAAGTGCATCCCAGTGGCACGAGGATTCTTTGATTTCAGGAGGCCTGGCAGGCAAGCAGGTGCGATTTGGCTGCGCGGCTCGGGCAGCTTCAAACCGAGTTCTGCCGAGGTGCAGAGACAGACCACTCTCGATCCAATCTGGGCCATGTCGTAGCCGTGGAAGACATAGCGTGCAGCCTGCAACGGAGACCTCCTTCCCACCCACACCCATGCACCCTGAATAGAGACGCGGAGATGCCGGCCTCCTCCATGAGGGGCAGCTTCGCCCCCTGGCGGGCGGTCAGGAGACGATGGACTTCAAGAGCACGGGCAAACAGCCTCAGGGCCAGCTGTGGCCTCGGCGATGCAGACGGCAAGCTTGAAAGCAAGTCACGCCCCTCGAAGTCTTGAGACACTCCGAGGGCCCGAACGTCCAGGAACTGGTCGGCATTCCTCAAACCGCAAGCGCGGACGAAACGTGATTTCTAATTTGGGGCAGCGCCGATCAAAGCGGTCGGCCCTGTGAGCGTCTGGCTGTGGGGTGAGCCGGAGCGCCATCCGCTTCAGTGCAGCGATGTAGTTGCCCTCAGTGGCTCAAAAAATCAGGTCTGCTTTGATGATCTCCCGAATCCTGGGAACTTGGCGAGCACATCCTGAGACTTGTCCGGGATCTCGGGCCTCGGCCGGATCAGGGAAACGATCGCCACCGGCCGTTCCACCAAAGACCCAGCGCAGCCGAGGCCGGTGCTGCCCCTGTGCCAGCTGGTTAAGCTGATCGAGGAGGTGCGGAAACGACTCGTCCTTCACCTCAACAGCCGCAGGGGGACAGAAAAGAAGGCTGAACAACAAGTGCTCAAATGTTTCGGCGAGCCACATTTACCAGGATCATCGCCCTGGGCTTACAGCAGCGTGAAAGATTCGGATGCAGTGGCATGCAGCGCGGAAACGCCGATATAGGTGGTTGTCAAAATTAGGGTCCCTTTTTGGGCACCCTAAATATTAGGTGCCGTGCGATATTAAGGACCCAAAAAGGGACCCCTAATTTTGACAACCACCCATGTATGATATGAGGGGGCCGATTCACAGGTCCGAGGGGCACCGTGCGGAAGAGAGCCGCCCTGACCCGGCGGAGGGTGTGCTGCGCGAGGAGACCGTGCTGCACGAGGAGGGCCATGACCTTTGGCACGGATGGCGTGATAGAAAACCACTCTGCACCGATCTGTCTTCTCGGAACTGCGAAAAACTCGCACCGGGGCGGCTTGCCGCCTGGCCTTCCGCTCTTGAAAGACGCGGAAGAAGCCGGTGCCCTTCTCCTCCGAGTAGGAGAGCCTGCGAAGACGCCAAGCAGAACTGGCGATGAGTGGAGAGCATGAGAAGATGATGCTTTAAATCTTGGCCCGGATCCCTCCAGCTGACAGCCAGGTGACGCGAAGCCGAGATGCTCGATCTGTTCCGCGAGGGCCTTCATTAGCCGTTCTGAGAAGATATTTCCGCGATGATTGCTTGACTGAGCCGGCCACATCTGCTTGCGAAGGCAGATGCGGTAGGGACCTGGTCAGGCCGTCCGCTACCAGGCTCAGCCTCGGAAAACAGTGGAAAGCTCTGCAGCACGCGCATGCACGCGCATGCACGTGCAGACGGTGTCACCGGGCGACTGGCAACTTCTCGAAGCCTTCCAACGTTCGTGGAAAATCCTGCATAGCGGTCACAGCCACGGCGTGCCTGATGCACACCAACAAAAGGACGAGGCCCCGGCTTTTTGGGGAGGGGCCGGATCCTTGCAACCGGCTGAAGCTTCCGACATGTCATGAGGCTCCGTGGCGGGGTTGTGCCTCCCAGAGGGAAGAGACGGCCTCCACTGCCTCAGCGAGACGGTGCTGGAAGTTGGCTGCTAAGCGCACAGTCATCTCGAGTGCAGCCAAGGAACGGCCGAAAGCCACTCCATTGATGCGGACGTGGCTATGCTTGTGCAACTGCGAAATCAGAACCTGCACTCTAGAGCACCGCTGGCTCCTGTGACTTCTGACTCGTGACATGCAAGAACGCATTGCAGACCGCTCTTTGGCGAAGCAGCGGGAGCTGATCAGCGATCCAAATGAAAGAACAAATTCAATTTGTGCAGAGACATGCGCTGCATGGAGCGGATTGTTAGGTGAACCCGCACTGGCCGTCAAGCTGGCGACAAGGATGCAGCGGCAATTTTCGAAAAATCGGTGCGCGCGAGTGCTTAGTGCTCGTAGACTCGTAGCATCACAAGCAGGCAGTCAGACCCGCCGTCCTCAGAGATGTGAGCAGAACCCTCACACGTTTAGCTTCCGTCTCATGAACAGCATCCACAAGATGCGGGGGGCCTTTGCAGCGGGCTTCCGGCAGCAGATCCTCTTTTCGGGCACTGTCAAAATTGATGAATGGCGAGTTGTGGGCTGCCGAGAAGTGATTTCCTCTTCGACGAAGCTTTGCAAGAACGGGACTGCACAGTGCATGGGTTACTACTGTGACGCAAGGACGAGCTCGACCAGCATGTCAAACATGACACCGATGTTACTGATGCTGTTATTCGGAGGGCACTAGTCCGTTACGATCGGTGTGCACGCATAGGAAAAAATGCAGACGGACTCCTTTTTCCGGATGGCTGAAACCCGTAGCGGTCTGGATAAGTGCCGGTACCTCGGGCCGGACACAAATCCCAAAGAGGACTGCTACGGATCGGTACGGGCACCGGTCAGGACGGAAAACGTCGGAGCCGGGTGCCGAAAAGGACTTTGCGGTTTTCTGAAGCCGGCCTACGCATGCAGGAAAGGGCAAAGTCCAACCCACACCAGAAATCCAGGCTGTAAGCTGCGGATTGAAGGGCCTAAATCAAAGGCGGAGACCAAGGGGGAGGTGGCGGGAAAGAAAAGGCTAGCACACCGTCGGCATGCGGAACGGATGCGCCTAAGTCGAACGGCTGCGGTATGGTTACGACTTGCCGTTGCGAGCCCTCCGAATAACACAATACGACACGTCGAGAAACCGTTATTCGGAGGGCACTAGTCCGTTACGATCGGTGTGCACGCATAGGAAAAAATGCAGACGGACTCCTTTTTCCGGATGGCTGAAACCCGTAGCGGTCTGGATAAGTGCCGGTACCTCGGGCCGGACACAAATCCCAAAGAGGACTGCTACGGATCGGTACGGGCACCGGTCAGGACGGAAAACGTCGGAGCCGGGTGCCGAAAAGGACTTTGCGGTTTTCTGAAGCCAAGATCTTGAACGAAGTCCAGGCAAAGGAGTACCCGCACCGGGGAGAAAACAGCCAAAGTCAGAAGTCCAATGCCGGGAAGAGGTCACGGTTGAAAGCGGCCGCAGGAGAGTAAGACGGGCGCGGAGGACCACACAACAGGTGCCAAGGGACCAGGATCTCATCGGCAGGATTGAGTCCCAATGTGCTCGGGTCGCGGGACCGGCTCAGGGCATCAGCAATCTTGTTACGGAACCCCGGAACATGATCGATATGTGCGGAAATGCAGAAATGACGCTGCCACAACAGGTAGGAGTGCAGTAGGTCACACATACCGCGGGCCGTAGAGAGGCCTTTCCATGAAGCCGATTCGGAAGGGCTGTTGTCACAGCGGCTGACGAAATGCACTGGGTGGTGAGCGGCCGGGACAACGAGAGCAACGCACCAGAGAAGCGCGATTTGGCCAAGGAGTTCCCAGGCAGCGATGAATTTCTGAGGTGAAGTGTCAGGGGAATACCAAGCACAAAGTCGAGCAAGATCCGCAGGGGATAAGGCGGATCGGAACCAGACCGTACGGCCGGAGGGAAAAGCCACGAAGCCGCCCAAGCCCGCGTGTTTGCTGTCGGCACAGGCGTCAGCAAACGCCTCGCAAGTTAACAGCGGCGACAGAGACAGCGGGAAGAGCGGGATGGTCTGACACAAGCAGGAGTGCCAAAGGTCCAAGACGGCTTTAGATTCCTGCGAAAGCTTCCGGTCAGAGTCAGGAGGGGAGCGGACGGAAATCCAGAGTCGGCGTTCACCGGCAAAGTGGAGAGGAACATCCTTCAGTGTATGAACAGGGCGGGAAGCCACACTGACCAGGGTGCAGCCCTGGGGGCAACTAGCCAGACCGACAGATTTTGTAAGCACGAGGTCTTTGGACAGGGCTGCACGGAAGGATTCCCACGTAGAGGGGGCCACAGCAACATGAACAAGTGGAGGTAGGCTCTGGTCCCGATAAAGCGGTGCAAGGGACGGCCGGAAGGGACGAAACAGGGAACAAACCCAAAGGAGTTTGCCGGTGAGTTTGCGAAGCAGGTGTAGTGGGATCGCATCCCCGGAACGGGCAGAAGAAATCAGAAGGCGGAGACGGGCCAGCTTCGGTGGTTCAAGCGTGGCGGTAAAGGTTTCCAGGGACATAGACCAACCGATCCAAGTCGGCCGTGCGCCCAAATAGGCTTTGTGCCAACTCATTGGGACGCGAAGCACAAGAAGGAAAACACACAGCACAGCGGCCCAGACCGGCGCGGACGGACCGGAAAGGAGGGAGATCAGGTCGTCGACATAGATGAGCAGGGCGTGGCGGATGAACAGAAGCCGATGCATGAGGCGTGAGAGAATCCCCGCCAATCGTGCCCAGTAAAAGCCGGACGCGCGTGCACCGAAATTCAATGTGAGACACTGGAACAGGCGGCCGCGATGGAAGAAGCAAAGAAGGCCTTGATCGGCGGCCCGGATCAGTATGCGCCGGTGAGCTTTGCTGACGTCCAAGATCAGTGCGAAGAGCTGTTCCAGGGCCAGACGGAGGGGAAAGCAGCGACGGAGACCCGAGATGGTCGGGTTTGCGGACTTATTAGGAAGAGTGGTGTGTTCTGTAACACCGGAAACGCTGGAATCCACCACCAGGCGGGGGTCACGGTCGGGGGCCTTAACAAGTCCAAGCTTCCCCACGGCGGTGCGAGCATAGGTAGCGACGAGGCTGTCAAGACCGCCCGGAACCTCCCGCACCCAATCTTCGGAAACTTCGGTTTGAAGAAGGGAATCAACAGTGGACAGGTCGGAGAGAGCTGATCCCCAGGAGGAGGAACAATGCTGTAAGTCCATGGATGGGTCCTTGGTGGCAGAAGCAGGAAACAGTGTTGGGCAGGCAGGCATAGGTTCGTCAACACCCAGAGGTACTCCTTCAAGCAGCAAGTCCACGAAGGGTCGATCCGGGTCGCGCGAGAGCTGGAGCAGCGCATCCAGAAGGAACAGGCGGAACGGTTGGCCCGGAGGGACCGAAAAAAGTGTATCAAAGTCAGTAACCGCCAAGCCCAGAAAGGAGCGCAAGTCACCCAAGAAAGGTTCCAGTTCGGATTCAGAAATGGGGGCATCCTTAGAACCGGATGCCAGGCGAGCGCGAAATTTGGCAAGGAAATCCCCCGACAGGATGCGCTTAACCCAGAGTTTGCGCAGGGAGCCGAAGGTGTCGGGACCGGACGGTTTGGACCAGGAAGCAGTGGAGCACGAACCTGCACCATCTTCAATCCGGGAGGAAGGGAGTGGCCAGCAGAGCTGTGGCTCAAGAAGAGCCGTTTCCCAGGAGAGGAACGGGACTAGACCCACTGACCGGGAGAGATATGGTGCCATCAGTGCCGCAAAGCGCTCGCAGAGACCGTCCGGGTAGCATGCAGTGGTCCGTGTAAGGAAGGCACCGGACGAATCACGCTTGCCTGCCAAGGGCGGGTGAGTGCCCGGCGGGTGGCAACAGGCAGAGGCCAGAGAGGAAAGGTCCGCCAAATTGGAGACAAAGGTCCAGCTCTTTTTGGCATTCACGCCAAAAGTGCAAGCGGCAATTTCCACGGCGGAGAGGCAGTGGTGGCGAATCCAGGCTTTGCATGGGTCGGTGAGCCACAACAAGCTGCTGGATGGGTTCTCAAGCAACACCAGACCACCCGAGAGAAGCACGAGAGTGAGGAGCTCCCGACAGAGCTCGTGCAGCTTGTCAGAGCGTTGCAGTTCAGCCTGCTGGCGCTGGGAAGGAGCAGGGATGCCGTGCGGGTGTGCTGGTGTCCGGACTGCGGGCGGGCCACCGCGTTTAAGGCGAGCGCGGCTAAAGCTGGAGCAGGGTGGGGCGGCAACAGCCACACGCACGAGGCCAGACGAGCACAGTTTCCGCATGGACGACTGATGCTGGGGCAGAAGCAAGTCCACCTCTTCCCCATGAAGCACGTCTATAGGGGCAATGCGGTCAAGGCCAAGATTGGAAACTGCTTTAGAGAGCGGGGCCGAGCAACCTGAAAACAAGTCCAGGAACAGTGCCGGGCGGGCAGGAGGATCGGCCGGGGAAGTGGAAGGGGGGGCCCCATCCAAGGATGGAGCTGTCTCCTTGGCAGGGCGTGCACACGGGGAGGGGGGATGCATGCCAGGGCGAGCCCCTTGCGAAGGTGGGCGGACAAAAGAAGGAGTATCGTGTTTCTGGCCACAGGGTTTGCCGGAAGGGAGAGGGATCGGGCAGGAATGAGAAAAGCGGCAGGAATCCAACTTGCAAAGGCCTAGCACAAAGCGTTTGCAAATCTCCTTGCCATTCTCGTCCACCTCATGCCACGACTCTTCCCACAGATCCTTGACGGGTTTCTTGCCGGCCGGCTTTTTGGCATCGGCTTTGGCTTTGCCGCTCGGTTTTTCCGGTTTGCCGTCGGTTTTGAGACGTTTCGTGGGCCTATCTGGCTTAGATGGTTGCGACGTGTCGGCCGTGCCCACAGTGCGGGTGGGTTCCCGGACCGGAGGGGCAGGCATGGACCGAGGCCGGGCACACAACAAAGTCGGAATCATGTGTCGGGTGACGGAAACCTCATGAATGGAGTCAGACAGCGACCATTTCTCATCTCGCATCAGTGTGCCAACAGCAGCCCAAATGGACCGGTCGGCTGCAAGTACTTCTTGCAGAGACGGTGCCCGGAGGGAAGGATCCAGGGGGACAGCCG